CCACCAGACATTTTCTTGCCGTTCTTCAGGTTCACAATTTTCTCTTCATTGGAATCACTTTCGACATCATTGTCATGAATCTTGTTCACTTTAACACTACTCTTATCGCAGGTGTCACCTGCATCGCAGGAGTCGAGTGCATCATCATCTTAATTAGATTAAATGAGTAAGAGAGTAATCAGCATTATATGTACATGGTACTACATCTTACATAATAATGATCATGTATTTTCATTTTGAATCACACACTACAATACCATGCAAAAAGTCAATTAGAAAGTTCATCACACCATTAAAAGTAGTACTACATGCAACACATCACTATCTTTATAGGTACATCACTATCTTCATATGTACATCACTATCTTCATCCATACATCACCACCTTCATAAATCCCCACTCCACCTTTATGTATCCCCACCCTACCCTCATACATCCCCACCATCATACATCCAAACCTTCATGCATCCACAACTTGATACATCCTTAACTTTATAAATACCCACCGTTATACATACACACCTTCATCCATACACACCTTCATCCATACACACCTTCATCCATACACACCTTCATATGTCCGCACTTTTAAACATTCCTAATTTTAAGGCTACCCAGTTATAACTGTGATTGGTGGATATATGCTACTATGTGCCTAAATTTAACAATTAAATTCAGACCACTAAGAGTGGTGACTAGTTTTTAAAACTCTGAGAAAATCCTTCTATGTCCTCATTTAGGACAGTATAACAAAATTGTCATTTTCAAAACTTGTGCTTTTGACTGATTACTCTGTAAACATTCTGAGTTTAAAATTAAGGGCTTTGTGATGGGGAAAAAGAGTCTTACTAAAAATGTGAATTTGAGGTCAATGTAAGACAGCATTATATAATGCTTAACAATGAAAAACTTTAAAAATTCTAAAATCATTGTTTGAATTGGATTTACTTCACTACTGCGTAGATTAGGGCAGCTTCCCAACCTTTTTTCCTCTTTCATGATGTAATCACTTTTCACAGTTTCATTTATAATTTTGCATACCGATACCTTCACTATTTATTTTGATATGACTGCTTTCATTTTGTCTAACATCATTATCCTTTCTGTCATAAGGTGTATTTATTAGTGACATTTCAATTGCTTTTTCTATATCTCTTTGGTACAACTTTTCACAAACGGAAGGCCTTACAATAGAAAAAAATCTCATGACGTTGTTGTATCACACATTGAAGAAATTAGTGTGTACATTGGATTACACAAGGCAAAGCAAAGGCTTATAAAGGATTATAGATGTACTATAATATCTGTGTAAAACAGCATGATGCCCTTTAGCCAAAATTAAAAATCTATTTTTGGGTCACACCTTCTCTCGCCTTTCTTCTCTTTGTTCATTTCCTTCTCTTTATGCTTCGCCTTCTTTGTTTGTGGTTCAAAATCAACTTCAAAATCATCTGAAACATATCATGAAGTCATAAATACAAAAACTTAGCAATTTAAAACAAGAGAAATTAGAACATACAGGCATGACATTGAAAAGGAAGTAAAGTATGGATCCCCGTGTATATTTATTGCATATCTACCAAATTAATAATCTCAACTTTTTCACAATAAAACAATGTAAAATGTTTAATAGTGCACTAGATCAATCATGCAGCCAGCAAATAATTATGGGGCCTACATTCACATTTGTTGCATCAGTATTTTTTTGAACAGTGTCTATGTAGGTACATGTAAACTGATACAATATAAAATGTACCCTTCTCCTACCTATGTAAACCAGAGTGTATAACCACATACTTTACTGTAAAACAGAGCAATTATATTTTCATTAATAGCTACGTAGCTATGAGATCACCGTATGTACAATACATTACCATCACTTTCACAATTGGAGCTCATATCAGTATAATTAACATTTTTTCTCCCTTTCCTGCAAGAGATGATGGTAAAAATAAAACATGAGTAAAGCTAAATGCTTGTAGATGTAGATCTTCAAGGCTCGAGCAGTCCTGAAAACGACTGTTGGTGTTGTTAATAATTGACATTTTGACATCCTTTGATCATCAGAGTCAAGTAACACACCAACAACAAGAATTCTTTTCAGGACTGCACAAAGCTGGACGATGAACATCTAAAAAATATAACATAATAGGCAATAAAAATTATAAATTCTAATATGAAAATAGTCCCTACTTTATTAATCACCAATATTGTCAACCAACAGTAAAACTTGTTTCACCCATATGCCATACCATAGTAGTGATAGTACAAATTGGAATCAAGTAACAAATTTTAGAATTCTTACCTTTTAGATTTTCGCTTAGAGGTCATCTTTAATGCATATTTACAAAATTAAAAAATATGCTATCAGAGAAAATACTAATGAAGTTAGGATTCAAGTTTAACTTCTCGTGGTTTTAACATGATTTTCATTATGTAGTTGAATAATCTTATAAAGTTTCGCGCGTTGGCGTCATTACACTGGATCATATCTCGTATTTGCAATGATGTTTACCATTGCACTATCATCAGGATGTGTAATCAACTCATTCATAATCTCCACTCTTTAGTGTGGAAGTGGATAAGAATTGAGTAGTTTGTAAATTGAACAATTTCAGAACATAATAAGAAATCATCTTCGATTAAAAAACAAGCTTTGGAGTGAGAAAACTATTGAAACTGCATTAGCACGAACTTCACAATGTTATTTGTTCCAAAAATGGTTCTCTACTTGAGTCAGTTGATTGAACCTTGTATCAAAAGCAGTTCAGCACAACAATCACCATACGCAATCAAATTTCGTAAGTTCGACGTAAAGGCATTTGTTTCATTTAACGCATTATTATCTCAAAATACTGTATTACTAGCAGTAATTTGCGGTGGCCCAGAGGTGCAATACACAAAAACAAATTCAAATACACAAAGAAAATTATAATATGCAAACACAATTTCAAATAGAGTCCTGTGACGTCTCGTTACCATGGCGCTAAAAAATGCAGTTCTAAGCAAAATATCTTATGCGAGCGCTTTGGACAGGCTTCCTTTGTTTTGAATGTCTAAAGCTTTAATTATCCAGTGTAATCCCACAAAAGACAATAAAAAAAAACAGGAAAGGTTAAAGGGTCATCCAAAGGATCAACTTTTGTTGAAGAAGTGTAAAGGACGCGGGTCAAACGGGCAAAATGGTTTACTGTTTTGCTCCTACATGTGGCCATTCGTCGGAGGGCAACACTTGCAAGTTCTTCGCTTTTCCAAGCGCTACAAAGCAGAACGACGAGTACAAGAGATGGGTTTGACTCATAAGGTACGAACTGATATTCAAAACGAATTCCTTAATCGGTGAAAATTTGATGAATTACGTGATTTTAAGTGAGATTTACGGACTCTATTCAAGTGAAGAGTTGACATCAGGACATGATGGAGAATCATCGAATACTGAATTATAGAAGCTTCAGCTAGTTGTCTTTTTAACGGTCGCTTTGTATTTTCCGTAGCCAAAACCTTAAATCTTAGTGTTTTGGAAGGTATAATCCATCAATTTTGAGGATCAAATTTTTATCACTTTAATGAAAGTACGACAGAACTACACTCAGCTACACCTAACCCAATTGTTTCATTGTAGTGTGGCCACAATTTCTAACATTGTTATAGCATTCACTCATGTTTTGCATGAAATTTTGTTTGATGACCTAATGACGTCGATTCCATCCCTGGAAAAAAACAAGATCTCTGCACCCTCCTCTTTCAGGCAATTTGAATCCTGTCGGATTGTTATAGACTGCACAGATATTGAGGTTGCTGCACCGGGATTGATGAGTCAGCAAAATGCCACCTATTTATCATACAGAGGAATGAATTCCTTTAAGGTAATAGTTGGTGTTGCACCAAATGGAGTCATTACTAATGTCAGTAATGGCTGTGCAACAGTCTGGACTCCTTAATCACTTGACAGCTGGAGATATGATTCTGGCGGACAAGGGTTTCCTTATCCAGGATGTTGTACAGAGAGTGAGGTCAAGAAAACAAAAGCTATAGCTAAAGCACGGAGTCATGTCAAAAGAGCCAATGCTAGGCTGAAAGACTTCAAAATTTTAGGCATCATTCCTTCGTATTTGTGCTGCTATGCTGACATTTTGTTTCAGTTATGGGCGGCACTTGTAAATTTGCAATTTCCTTTCATCAAAGAGGGATTGTGAACATATGGTTTTTGAGTAGTTTTATGCTTGAAGACTACATTGGACAGTTTTTTAATAATTATTGTTGTTCAAATAGAAATAAAATAATTTGTAGACTGAGGCTTACTTAGAAGAAAATACAGCTAGAGGTAGCATTCTAATATAACAGTAAAGGGATGATTTTACCTCCTAGGAATTGCAATATTTATCATCTGGTACAGCCTGGGTGTACATAGGGTGTCAAATTACATCACTGCGAGAATTCTTTTATCATGTTTAGGAGAACAGAAGTTAAAAAAAGTTTTGACATATGTTTTACAATGGATGACTTTTTGGAGATAAAAATAAAAGCAAGTACTGCCCACAGTTACCCTTGAGGAGTCTTTCTGAATATTTTCCATGAGCATCCCATCACTGTTATAAGGGAATTTCCCTCCCCCCCCAGGAAAACAACATTAAATGATGTACCATTTTTCCATGTCTTTTAAATACCATGTTATCCTTGTGTTTATTAATAAAAATGCAAATATGTGTATAGCCTGTTACCACAACTCCCTCACACCAAACTAGTAGTGGTAGGTCAATTTGAGGACTGAAAACCGACGAGTATCATTATTTTTTAAAACAAATCGTTTATTAACAAGCCTTTTTTCATTTCACTACTAGAAAAAATCTCGCCCTCGTGTTCATTTGGGCAACAAAAACAGTCTAAAACTTAATCTTGACATTTGACATTCACCGTCACTTTATAAACCTTTTGTTTCATTCTTGCGTGTACTTCTCCTCGTAAAACACTCTGCTGGTAAGTAAATGCTTCAATGTGATCTGACTTAAAGTGGTTTTCCCCCTTTTTTACATATTTCTCTTCTTCTGAGAAGAAAGAAAAAAGCGAAGCGATGGATAATGTCTCCATTTTGAATCGAATGGGGCGCTTGTTTGGAACTGAGATTTTTAACACCATGGAAACGTGACGTCACCACTTAAGGACTCTATGCACGAACACAAATTATAATATACAAAATTCATATCCGGTTAATTTGCCAGCCAAATGTGTTCTGAATTTACAAAGTTGCCGAAGTGCAGAATATTTTCATATTCTTATATTTTCGTTTTATTTCGAGAAAGTAAGATAAATACAAAACATTCGTGAGGTATTTATTACATTTAGCGTTCATGTATATGTTCGTATTATCTTTCCCGTCTGTTGGTAATGTGAACTTGAACACCATGTTTTGTACAGTATGCGGGAGTTCACTAAATACAAGCGGTAATTTTTGTGCTAACTGTGGGACGGATCTTCAAAAGTCTGACGAATCAAAGACCTTGCGGAATAGTGATCCATCAACATCAGCTGGGCCTTCTACTGATCCTCGTGCCACCAAACCTTTGACTTTTAAAGAGTATTTGGCAGATATTTCATTTGCCACTGTTGAGACAAGGAAGCGTCAAGATCGTTTTGTCTCCACGAAAAAGAGAAAGAAGAATGAGACTGTCAAGGTTTGTGATTATTACTACCTCTGCAAATAGGTCATGTCGATAATTATTTGAAGGATGGGTGATGGTAGTGAATAATTATAGTCAATGCTTGTTTTTATCTATTTATTAGTTATGTAATTCCCACCTATTTAAGCTGAAATATAAAATGCTGCTATAGGAATTTTGTTTTTTTTGCAGTCATTCGAATCAACACAATAATACTTTTGTTGCATGCTTTAAAAATCAGGCTCAGGTTTTCATGGAGAAGGATGAATAGTATTTTCCATTAAAATGTCTAATTATTTTTTCATTCTTCATGAAACATTTTGTGATGCCAGATCATGAACACTTAGTAACTGGATATTTTTTCCACCCCAGATAAACATTGGAATGATTGAGCTGGATGGGAATCATTTGAAAATTAAGCGAGACTCACTTCTTCCTATTGATGTAAAAAAATGTGATTCTCATGTAGTCATAAAAACTGCTTGGGTGGAGAAGCAACTGGCTCACAATAAGCAACTCCATGATGAAAGTTCCGAATGGGTTTTGTTGTACCCAGATATGGAGTTTTATATTTACCAGGCACAACAGAAACAATTTCTGTAGAAAAGTACAAGGAGTGCCTTGGCAGGCCATGCAGTAGTGTCAATTTGTATCTTTGCAAGACTTTGGATTATGAAAGTGAGGAGGTTTTCTATCAATTCTTAAAAACACTTTGTTAATGTGTAGGCAATTTATTAATGTTGACTAATACCTAATTATGAGCATTTAACAATCAAAGTAATTCTGTAAGGTCAAGTATATAATAATTTTTGCACCATTTGGTTAATTTTATGAAACTATCATGATACAAATAAAATTAAACACTTACTTTATAAGGAGCTAATATTGAATATTACACATTAATATTGTAAAAGATCAACATTCATTTAGATGTTATACTTGAGAATTCCAATATGAGTGCATAAGGAAATCAGCAAAAGTGTGTTATGCAACAATCTTTATTTAAATAAGTTACATATTTGATAAAAATACAAATATTTGTTTTGTAGTTGCTAATGAATTAGTTGATGATGTTGTGGAAGAGCAATTAGATTTGGAAGAAATCAGACTAACAAAGACTCAAAATGAATCATTGTGCACAGAACCACAGCTTGGAGAAGAATCACATTCCACAAATTTGGTTGGACCGTCATCTATTGATGATGCAACTTTAACACCACATGCACTGGAGAACCTCCAAAATTGTGATGCTTTTGAGATGAATACTTTCCAAGGTTTGTGAGTACTATATAGTCTACTTGTTCTTGTCTGTCTTTTTACGGAAAAGATGTTCTAGTTATATAGTATAGAAGAAAAATATCCACTAATTTGATGTTCAATTAATATTTCATGAAATGTTGATTGGGTATTGTGATGATTGTGCCATTAGGAATTCATTCAAAGAAAGTGGATGAATGGAATTTGAAAATAGAACAGTCAGAAATGTTGTGGCTTTTCACCCATCTTTACTATATTAAGTGTTGTACATTGCAGGTGAAAGTTCTGAAGGGGCTACTTTTGTCCCAGAAAGTATAGCAAATGAAGTTATGGAGCGAGAAGTGTTGCTTATTCATCGTTGTAATGTGAAAGCTGACTTGCTGCACTATTTTGAAAAAGGTGATATTTTAAAGAAGTGTGTGGATGTCAAGATGATAGATTCCAGAGGTGTCGAGGAAAAGGGCGAAGCAGTCTTTGTTGTCAGGGATGCATTTTCTCTGTTTTAGAATGAAATAGTTTCATGTTAGGCGAGGATGAACGAGTCCCAGTGATTCGTCATGACGTTTCCAGGGAGAAGTGGCAAGC